TATTGGAGAATTATGCTAACACGCATCAAAACCACTTAGCCTTTGTTTATGTCAATGTATAAACTAAGCACTCGAAGACATCGGGCTGTGTTTGACATTTGGAAAAATGTATAATATTCCTTAAATACCGTATATGTCAGGTGAGCGCAAAAGTAATTGCAATTCTTGCGTATATTTCATGATTACTCAAAAATTAACTATTTCTCCATTTTTAGCACACTCCAAAATTGATGGTTGCGGCTTTCATTTGAGTAAAAATTGTACGTCTATTTTCTTACGACTCAAAGGAATTGCCATACCAAAGCTTTCAAGATATGCTCTTCAGAATTTTGCAAGAACAAAGACATTGCAGCTTATACGCACGGTGATCCAACTAGAACGGGGTGCGTAATGAAGAAGAGGTAAAACGACGTTTGCATTACTGCAGCGAATGTTGCTCTATCAAAAAAAGGATAAAGTTTCTCCAATGACCGATGCATATGATTAGAGAAAATTGAACTGTTCGTCAACGAGGGCGCTAATATCTTCAATGGCTCACAATGCTTGAGAACTAGCCCTTCGCACAAACAAGTATGGGGCGGACAGTCTCCCAGACTTTCAAATCAAGAGCATTAACTAAAAGAGCAATCTTTCCTGACCAAATCACCATCTCTATGGAAGACGAAGTGTTCGTATGCTACGTTTCACTCTGGTTCTTGGTAGCAAGAATAATTTTTTTGTTGTTTGCAAAAATTGAATCTTGGTATTAGAGTCTTCAATGAAAACGTCAGTTCTGCAGTGTAAAAAGGTGATAGTATTTTGCCCTCGGACACTTGCTACTAAGATGAAGCGTTGGAAAACCAGATCCGATAAGAATATCATGCCTCGATTCACGTAGGATAACAGCCGAGAAAGCAGTTGACCGCGCACACCATATTCAAGTTCTACAAGCAAGTGAGAAACTTTGTTGAATGCCTAAAAATATCGAAGAATACAATGTCCATACTTACTGAGATTAAGTAGTCCAACCAAAGAAGGAGTCTGAGAGCAGAGTAGTTATCGATCTCTAAGGAAAACCGTTTTGGACTAATGGAAAGATTGTGTTTTTTTTGAACCCTATGCGCGAAGTCTCTTTCGTGAGCTTCTCAGGAATTTTGACAACGGGCGCAATGTTACTGTTCGGGTGGTAAGAAAGACGTTGATGTGTTCACTCTAGAGTGCTGTTACAAGAACTTCTTTTCAATTTTTTACTACTTCTTAGTATAGATTGATAGTTGGAGTTAAAGGGAATGAATAACAAGGCACGAGACATTTACGTAGTACATTATGGAACTCTTTTATATGTGAGAATTGTTGTTGCTTTTGGTTTGCTCAGAATGTCATAGCCATGTTAGGGAATCTTTATACTACGTCGCAGGAAGCGGCAGCCTGCCGCGTGCGCCGCCTACGCCGCAGCACGCAGCGTACGCTGCTCGCAGTGAAAGTACTCCCATGGGGCACAGTCTCGCCATGAACATTCGAAAAGCACAGGGTAGCGGATATGGAAATACAGTGATAGGCAGAGTGTGCTGCCATAGGCGTATTCATAGTAGATGAGCAAGGGCATTAATAGGGAACATAGGTGCGATAGGGGGAGCCGGGCCCTCTCCAGGTGAAGGGGGTCTCTGCTACTCTCATCCTTGTAAGGTGAAGGGGGTAAGTGAGCCCTGAAAGCAATACCATTCGAAAGCTGAGGTCATATAGAAGACATAGACCGTCGGCTTTTTTCTAGGTCTTTTGTGCCGCGAGATATGAGGGATTTTATGTACTTTATGTACCAACTAATTTTGTGTCCTCACTTTCTGCTCTCCAAAAGAATGCTACGAGAAAGTCGACGGTCTACGTTTGCTAATGAAGACTTGCTCTGTAACGCAGATAGATAAACAGCAGTGAATTAGGTCTTCGTTTGGTAGAAATCTGCTGTCGAAAATGAACATGATTTCAGATAAAATGCAGTGTATCTCTCCGTAAAGGGCGGCTAGAAAGAATTCGACGGTCTACGTCGAGTCCCCTTTTCCTGAGCTTTCGAATGGTATATAGACTGCTGAGCGAAAAAATTTGCCAGTTTTTAAAAATGGTGTGGAGGTATTTACTATTAGCTTGCTCCACCCAGCTCCCCCAATGTATTGGCTTTTATCGGTCACCAGAGCAAGTGCTTTTTAAAGCCAGGAAGCAAAAAAGCCCTAACATGCTTCACACCGTTCGAAAGCTGAGATTATGGAAAATCGACGTAGACCGTCTCTTTTTTCATAGCTTCTCTGTAGAGCGAGATACGAGCAATTTTAGCCTACTCACCAGCTAATTTTGTGTATTTATTTTGTAATTTATTTTTGAAAGAAAGAACAAAGATAAAAAAAGAGACGGTCTATGCTTACTGGCAAGGTCTTGCTCTGTGATGCTGTTAGAAAATCAGGCACCTTTATCCATTTTTCACGCAGAAATTTCTCGACTAATACACACATCTTTTTGGCTAAAATCCCGTGTAACTCTAAGTAGAGAGGAGCCAGAGAAAAAGAGAGGTATACGTCGAATCCTTTTTTTGTGGGCTTTCTAATGCTTTATAGGTTGTTGGGTGAAAAAACTTGTGGTTTCTCAAAAATGAGGTGGAGATATTCAATAGTAATTTGCTCCACCCCGCTCCGGCTTTCTATGGGTCGCCGGAGCAAGACTTTTTTGGACTGGGAAAGCTTTGTGCATCAAAATCTTACATACCATTCGATAGCTAAGAACACGAGGAATCGACATAGACCGTCTCTTTTTTCGTAGCTTCTCTGTGAAGCGAGATACGAGCAGTTTTATCTAGCTACAGTATCAGCCAATTTTGGGTAATTATATTTTCAAACCAAGAAGGTCTTTTTCGAACTTTTGTATATGAATCGAAAGCATGAAAAACGAGTAATCTAACTGTCGTTTTGTTTTTATTATTTTCTCTAGTGAAAAGAGATATGGTATGATTTCTTGTCAGTAAACATGCATCCATCGCTAGTCGGTTCAGATTTTTCTGCTCTTACTCAGCTCTTTTTTGCAAAGTTTGTATTCATTGATACAATGTTAATTATTCAAAAAATCAGCATTTTTTTTACTTTTTGATTACGTTTCGTTATCAACGCCCTTCGAGCGCGCAAAAGGTCTCAAGCATGCGTTTTTCAACGAAACGTTGTTGATTCGATACTTTCTTACAGTCTTGATGTCTGAGGATAAGAGCAGCTGGCGTGTTTCCAAAGAAGAAGTTTCGTTGTAATAGCTGTTTGCCTTGATTAGTCTCAACCTCAGGTGAAAGGGGTCAGCCAGATGCCGGCCCTAAGGTGAAGGGGGCCAGAGAAATTTCTCCACCTACCGCATCTATGATTGGGAAATCACCTCTTTGCGAAATTATTCCGCTTGTTTTTTCACCAACAACTTCTCGAGTAGTCGACAAAATGAAGCCCCTCCCTGTGACGCTTGTGTTCGGTACGCGGCGCACGGCGCACGTGGCAAGCTGCCGCGTCCTGCGTCCTACGGCGTAGTGTGAAGGAACCCTTAGGGCTCAGTATACATGTTTGGACAACAAGAACTTACCGAACACAAGCACCACAGAGAGGGGCTTCATTTTGTCGACTAGTCGAGAAGTTGTTGGTGAAAAAACAAGCGAAATAATTTTCCAATGAGGTGATTTCCCAATTGCCCTTGCTCACCTACTATGATCTTTTGCCGTCCATTGGTTATACTTCTAAGAAACATATCTAGAGAGGCATTGTTCCCAATTTGCGATAATTTTTTCATGTATTGGCTGATATCGTTACAAACTTTTCTGCTGAAGGCATTGTGCAGGGGATCATTTGATTATGAAATATTACAACAAGTTTTGAATGTGGGGCAAGATATGAACTGCAATGACGACAAACAAAATGGGTCATACAAAAAAATTTGGATAAAATTTCGTGAAAACTTTTGTACAGACTTCAACGGTTCCGCAACTTTCAGAAATTTGTTTCCCAGAAAATCTGCCTTACGAAATCTTCAACAGGGAATGAAAGCAACGGAAATGCCTTATGCAAATTAAGTAAACAGCAACAAAGCCTTCCGATACATTAATTATACAATGCAAGCATTGTTTTTGGCATTTGGTTGTCGCCAACATTTATACTTCTGCAGGCATACTCTATCGTTTCTTACCAAAGAAGATTGACATGAGCGAGTAATAAGTAGCATTAGTAAAAGTTTGAACTGTAGTCAATATGTCGTTTGTTTGTAGCACCTTACACTGTTACATCGCAATTGAAGGTCAGTTTCGGTTTTTCATTTATTTGTTTCAGCGCGTTGCACACCGAGTCTTTCGTAGATCTGAGCAATCTGTTAATAACGAGCAAAATGATCTGTGTGGACTGCTGTCGTGCAAGACTCAAATGAATTGAAATCGAAAAAAAGAAGTTTGCCTCTTGGTTTTGATTTCTTTATCTCAATGTCAATCACGTCCTTTGCGCTACACATAGTGATAAAGACCACACTTTGCAACCAAAACCGCCCAAAAGGTCTCCAATGCTAAAGATTTCGTATGAACGAAGAAGCCGCTTTTTGACCCAACTTCAGTACATGCATTTAGTGCCTCTTTTCATAGAATGTTGTTGCTTATGGAATGGCCATTATAGATTGGTAACATGAAGTTGAGTTTTTTATTCAGAGTGAATTTGCGCAAATGCTAGACTATTACAATCCTATTCGTTGGCAATTGTAAGGGTCCAATCTGGCCTACAGAATTTTTGTCGAATGTACAAACATGTACAAACGCAACACGAAAATCTAAAAAACAACTGCTTGGGATACAGGACAATGAAAAAGGCAAACTTAATATGTAGAAGGTGTTCGGGTAAAAAAGGGTCGGAAGGGTAATGGTATTTCAAGAAGCTGTCACTTTTAGAAATCTGTCTCTAAAACTCTGCTATTTCCCAATCAAATTCCATTACTTGAGGCAGTAATTGCAATTACAAGTCTCATCAATTTATTCAAACGTGGGTCTTTTCATTCTTTATCATTTCGAACTCGTCATGAAAGACTTTCCATTTGCCGCCTTCCTTCCTCCAAATTTGAAATGACTTTCCAAGTTCTTTGCCTTTTTTCGGCGATTCTACGATAATATCGCAGGACATGCAGATACAGCTATCACAACCGCAGCACTTTTCGTTCTTCCTCTTAATGATTTGATAGAGTAACATAAGCATTTGCGATCTTAACTTACTTCAAATTTGACTTGCCCATATTCTTCTGACATTTTGTTGAACATTTCTCCTATGACTGTAGACCAAGAATATCTTCAAGTAAAGGTGGGCTGATTATAAACTGGCATTCACCTTTCTTGCCATACACAGCATTCTCCCCTTTTTGGACTACAACAGCATCAGTATGAAAATAATCTTCGATCACCTTATCCAACTTTCCGGCGTAATAATCTTTCTCCCAAGCGTCAGAAACAGACTTCATGATAGCCGCTGCCTCTGGAAGAACTTTCTTAGATTTTTTTTACAAAACTTCTAGACTACGCAGATTTTCTGCTCAATTGAGTGCGTACAACCCACCTTCGTTTTTCATTGTGATCAATGACGTCACCAAAAAAAGACCTGGAACATTTTTCTACTTTCACTGTTCACTAATAATAGTAAACAAATCAAACGTACTAATTCTACACTACATGCCAAATTCAAACAGATTGAAAGAGGCTGTTTTTTCTTACATAGCTATGAAATTTCAACGGAAAAGAATTGAATTAAATGAAATGGCACAATTTGCGGGAGAAAAATAATTTTAGGGATGGTATCGCACAATTTCATTTGTGGAAGACTGATAACGCTTACTGTGGAAAAAATCTTGTATCTGCAGACACTCTCTTATACGTGAATGAATCAAGAATTCTAATGTGATAAGAGAGCGTCCGTCTAAAGATGATTGTGTTCTAGTGTGTTTAAGCGCATATTGAGGCTTTGCATAGTGAGGCTATCGTTTTAGTAAACCATGCCTAGCTTTCCTAGAGGAACAACACTGACTCTTTATTTTAATCAAAAAATATCAATAATAGAGAGATTGCTCCTGTCCTGTAAACATTTCTTTTTTAAACATGAAATTATGATCGAATGCATTAACGCTGCATTAACGCTACCAAGCTTTCTTCGTTCATTACGTCTGAAATATTTAGCTACAAGTGTAATCAGGGTCAAGCGTGTGATGCGACCGTCCCGTCGCAACGGGGGCGTAAAGGGGGCACCGGAGGGGGGGAGGTCTTAAGAGAGGGTGATCCGAATTAAAAAAGTGTAAAATGTAGAAAATAAGCTTCTTAATCGGAAACATTCTTTACTCTTCAATAACAGCATTTTTCTCCCTGCAAAAAATGGTGTCGCAGACGGGGATCGAACTTGCTGGCTACAAGTATGACCGAAAATTCCGAAGACACTTTCAGAAATTCAAACACTAGGCATGTATGAGTGGCAAGAATGTTAAATGTGCCAATTGGCCTAGAAATCCTGGTTCCGAAGCATCACTTGAAGTCTCACACTCTCAATTAAAGCGCTCATCTCTACCAGCGATGACCATCGATTTTAAAACTTTTTTGTTATGTCATTCAAGGGCCCATACAATTTACCTGTACTTTTGAGAGGCTCTGCTACAAATGCGCAAAATCTGTTTATTTTTCACAGCCTGTGGATTTTTTAAAAATTTTATATGTGGCAACAAAAAATGAAAAAAGGGGGGTCGTATCTGGATCGTACCTAAATTTTTTCGCCTCTGTGGGGGCCTGCTCGCCGCAATTTTGCAGTATTACGAGGCCATCCTCCTACTTTCTATCATACAAATTTTAGGCTGTTTCATAACTTCTCCGCTGAGTTACAAAATTTCAAGCTTAAAAATCCCAGTTTTTGCTTTTTAGGATCTGATCTAAACTTGCGAAAGTCGCATCTAGATTTTTTCGAGCTCACTGCAGTATTGAACGGAATACTACACATCCTATTCATTACAGCCTCTCAGTCTTTTCCTGACCATAGTTACGAATTATCAAAGTACCGTGCTCATGCAAGTTTTAGCGCTTTTTTCTTATGCTACTTACAATTAAAAACCTAGCTGAAAGGAACGAAGAAGTTTTGGAATTATTTCTACTATATAACAAATTTTAGATTTAGAACAAACAGTGTGAAAAGATTCAGAAAACAAATGTGATTTCGAAGTTTTTCACGCTTAGGGTGGCAATTAACATTCAAATTTGAGTTATACGAAACATGCATTTGCGGAAGCTTTTTCATAAACTTCATAATTCACTCTTGCCCCCATCGCACCTATACAAGGCAGATTTGGCGCGATTGTTGCGCAAGCACATCAATGCTTTATCAGTCAGTAGTGTGATTTGAGAACAAAACATGCGCTCTTCATTAGTCCACAGTTTTTGTAGTTTTCCCCTGTTATCTTGCATACCACGGCGCCATATTTACCTGTAGCAGCAAATGAGTCAATTATTATTTGTTATTCATCTTTGTAAACAAAACCTTGACCCAAAGTGGCAGGACAACATAAAAATTTGAAATTTAAAAACTTTCATACTTAAATACCATGCTTACGCTATTTTCTATCTGTAAAGGTAAATAGTGACCAAGAGAGAGCAGATCAAGTTAGTTATTATGACCCTGTTCTGCCCATTCTTTGCTAGATTACTTGGCAAGCGGGGAGAGGGACAAAGGAGGTATAAAATAACATCTTCAAAAAAGTCATTGAAATTCGATTATCATCAGCTAAACTGTTCCCATCCAAGAGGGTTTCAATGGTGGACCTTGACCTCAGTCACGATAGGATTGCTTCCTTACAAATGCACACATACTAGCTGCGCAAACTGTTGATGCACGCTACCTGAAGTGATTACGTAAAAGGTGCCATATTGCCGGCAAATGCTGCCGGAATCCGGGGGTTGCGCTTGGAGAGCGCGCATCATTCAGTGACTAAAAGGCCTAAAACATACCTCCCGCGATTGCAGTGGGTTGCAATTTCCCACTTGGACATATTTTCAGAGTCCGCAGCGCATGAGAGCCCAACTGCGCGGTCGCGCCGCGTCTTGTTAGATTGACATTGCGACGAATCGCTGGCCTTTTCGGGGCGGGCATAATCCTACACGATATCGCTGCGATATCGCTCAAACTCAGCGATGTCGCCGTCGCTAGTTCTGCACCGACGATGGCGAATCGCTCGAATGGCTTTTTTTGTAAAACGCTTTGTATTTTTTTGCAAATGCGAATCTTATTTGGAACATTCTATCTCATACAAGCGCTTCCTTTCCACATGAGAGAGGGTCATCGAACATTTCATACTATCGATTTTGAAAACAACACATGCGAAGGACCTAGTATGAAATTCTTTCCATGTGTCACCTAACTTTCTGTACTAGCATTTACCGTTCTAGCAATGCGCTAGTCTTCTATTCTCGTTTAGTAATAAAAAGTAAATGGTGACTGAATTTCGAATGGTATTGCTATGATTTTTGAACAGAATAAATGTGCAATATCTGTTACTCAGGCATATATGTACATAATCGTTCGCAGATTGACAGACAAGGATTTGAAAAGCATTCGTTGTCAAGAACGCTTACTCAGAGTTTTTTACAGGGCGGAAAACATGGCCTATTGTCACGAAGCTAACATGTAACCTAACGATGACTGAAAGAGTGAATCCTATTTCACAGTGGAGCCATACGCTGCGAGTTCCTACCGTAATCCTATAGTAATGAAGAGAGATCGGTAACTCCCTGCTTATTGTGAATCCATGTTAAAGCCAAGTTCACAAAATGGTACTTAAATCCTTTTAAAAGATTGCATGACAAGAGAGTTATTGACAATCAAACGAAAGACAGTTTTCTGGAACACCCTGTATACATGATGTCTCAAAGTAATTGCACACTGTTATCTTCAAGGACTCTGCTTTTCAATGCCTTTTGTCGGCACATTTAGGCACAAATATCAGAGCTGATTCAACTTAGATGTATAGTATGATGAAAATCTCTTATTCATCATTGTAGGATTACGGTAGAAACTTCAAAGGAGGTTCTAAGTCGTTAAGAGTAACATTTTGCTTCAGAAAGAAAGCCGAACGAGCCAAAAACTCTTAAACTAGGCTTATCAGACATGATTATTTTAGATATGAAATTTGCACATTACGGCCATGCTTCCTTCAATTATTTCAGGAAAACAGCATCAGCTGATCTTCTAGTGCTCAAAAATGTGATTATACTATTGAAAAATCTCCAAAATTTTGCGAAAGGTTGTGTAATGAATTAAGCATGCTTGAAGCCCTGCTACATAGTTTTAAAGAATTTTTTGGAATTTTTTTCATCAAAGTGCCTAACTCACAATGGCGCTGTATGCTGAAATTTTCTACAGTAACCCCTGCAGGTACGAAAAAAGATAGAAGATCCGCTTTATGAAGGATCTAAATTGAAGCCAGCTCAGCAGAATTAGAGATCGACAAAAAACTTAGAAGAAGGAAGAAAAGAATAAAGATTAAACAATGTGCATAATTTTGCGACACTTCGTATATGTTTATGTACATATATACAGGGTGTCCCAAAAGTAAGTACACACTTTTCAATTGTTAATATCTCTTTTCCCATTGTGTCTTCCCCGCTATTTGAGTACCATTTTATAGAGGAGGCTTCAACTTACAAGGAAAGCTTGTCTAGTCGAAGTGGCGTTTCTACTTGAGACTCACATTGCTTTGAAGTGCATCGCACGGTGGTTTCAAATCTGTCTTCATTATCTGCCCATTGCCTCTAGACGACGAGTTATGACCGTTTTTTGGAACGAAAAATGAGTGCAGAATTTAGGTAGAAACAATTGTTACAATCTTTCCAGCGCTCAAATAAAGCAATGTTAAGTATTAGCATGCTAGACAAAATGTATCCTATCCTCTGCATGGACTGCTCTGATACTCGACACCTAACCACTTGAGCAAATTTGGGCGATTTTGCTCCAGTTTTGCCTTCAATTTTTTTGACCCGAAAAACGCCCATGACCCGGCGTCCAAACGCGCTTGGCAGATAATGAAGGCAGATTTGGAATCACTGTGCAATACTCTCCAAGGGAGATGGTCTTATCTAAAGAGGCCATTTCGACTATACACGCTTTCCTTGTTAGACTTACAGTATTGAGCAAATCACCGATCGCTCTTCATTACTATAGGATTACTTAAAAACTTCGACAAGGATTTCAGGCCATTGGAAGCCATATTCTGCCTCGGAAAGAAACCAAACAAGCCCAAATCTCTTATGCTATGGTAATGGAAGCCGCTGATTTCGAATATGAAATTTTCACATTACTTTGATGCTTCTTTCCAAAGTTATCCCAGGTAAACCGAAATAATTGAATTCTCAGTATTTGTCAGAAATGTGATTACACCGTCAAAAAACTTTGTGTAGTGGAATCAGCGTGCGCAAAAACCCTAGTGCACGGTTTTTCAGATTTTTTGAAAAAAAATTTGTCGGATGGCATATTTCACAGTGGTTTCACATGCTGGAAGTTCTTACCGTAATCTCACAGTAATGAAAAGTTAAATCTAAGTTGAATACTTCTCTGCAGAATGGTACTTAGCTGGCAAAAAAAGACCCGCTGGAAAGAGAGATTTTGACGATTGAAAAGTGTGTACTTACTTTTGGGACACCCTGTATATAAATAACTTATGCATCCTCAGTGTTCACATAAATGAACACATCGCGACGATTCTATTTATGTTCTCAGTTAGGCAGTGATCGCTTCACTGACAGGAACCATTCCTTTTCGTGCGAGCCAGCGCATTTGTGTGTGACATCACGATATCTCGCTCCAGCATCAGTTGCCGGTAATACATGGTCGGTACTTCAGCAGTAATTCTATGCGGATGCTATCAACCCAAAGCTGCTCATCTGGCTCTTGGGCTATCAGCATCGGCACGCGTGAAGCGGCTTCTAGGTTGCGTCCCGAAAGGAGTGTGATTTCCAGCTAGAGTACGGATTCGAAAAACCAAACCTAAGAATACGGTTTCATTACTAAAGTATTGAATTATGCCGGCCTCTTAGCCTTCCGAGAGTGAATGATTCACAGTACGCAAGAATTATTTGTAGTGTGCAAAACCATTTATCTTGATTGAAATTTTTACGTTACGTGCATACATACCGCTTTTCTTCATGGTATATGTACAATGCTTTGTGGTCCTCACAAACTATTTTATTCCTTGGCATTCTTTCGCGGTTATGAAAAAAAAGATCACTTGCAATATAGCATCTCAAGTCTAGCGCTCCCCATTTGAGCATTTACTTTAGAATCTCGATTTCCTCGTGATACAGTTTCCATTTTGCGTCATCTTCTTTCTTAAAAATTTGCAGGATTATGGCTTTCTGTATTCCTTTCTTCGTTGAATGCGCGATGGCATCGAATTTTGTGTATAAACAGGAATCGCAACCGTCGAATGTCTGGTTTTTCCGCTAAAGCATGAATTTCTGTATAAGTTTTGAAGAAAAGCACCACTTACTTCAAATTTTACTTTCCCCCACTCTTCCGCCATTTTGCTGAAGTTTTCTATGATCTCTGAAACCGCATCAGTTGCATTCTTATCAGAACAGTTGCACGAGCTCACTTTTCTTGCCATAGTGCGCTCCAATGCCTTTGATGACCACTACACCATCATTGTGAAAATAATCGCTCAAAGCTTTTGCCAAATCACCGGCGTCGTATGTGCTTTCCATTGCATCGTACATGGGCTTTAAAATGGCCTCAATTTCTGGAAAACAAGAAACCACTATGTAAAATGGCTTAATATATAACAAGGAAGCGATCAGAAGTCGAGGGACAAAATGGATTGTAACGCATATCATCACATTCTGCATTCCAAATTTACCTTCCATATCTGCAACGCGGTTGTTTAGAAAGATTATGAGCGTTTAGAAGTTGTAATTGGACGATCACTGAGCGCCACGCCTTTGAAAATTAGCTGGTCAACAACACTTAATTGTGATTGGTATGAGAATTCTTTATCAATACAGTCAACATCATACTAGTCATGCACTCCAGAGTTGGACTCAAACACATTATGCATTAACACCCCCATGGCCTCACAATTTGAGCGCTCATAAGTTGTCCCAAAGAACGCATTGCAAAAATGGAGTGAATATGGAATCAGCTCATCAAGACGGATCTGATGACATGTGTTTCATTCCAGTTCGACACCTCAACTTGAGATAACCTCCTAAAGGCCGTATGCATTAACATCCCCACCGAGGAGGATCGCAGCTCAGCAGAAAGCTTCGTATCCTGAAGCCAGATACCTTGACTTTGCAAAGTTTCCTATCCGCAAAAACGTTCATTACCCTTTACTATAAACATATTGAACAGAGGTGAGAAAATGTACAAGCCGCACTTTCCCTCTTTTTGTGAGATCTCCCAACGATCCTTGGCGAACGGCCTTCCTTTCTCTGAGGTCGAGTTTCTTCCATTGAAGTTAGTGAACACATTCCAAAGAGTGCGGATTATTTAACCCAAGATCCAACTAAGCATGTTTTTGATAAGAGCAAATGAGTTGTTGAGCCGAAATTTTTGATGGACCTCAGCTGACCCAGGTCATCGCAAATTCCGTCATCTCGATACGTCATTCGTTCTATCATAAATATGATTGTACGGTTAGGTTAGACAGTACAACTTTATAGTGTTTTCATTAACTCCGAAATAGATGATTTCAGAGAAAAGACGGTCGGCGCCACGGATCATCAAAGGATCATAAAAACTGGAAAATGAGGTTTGTACAGCTTTTTGCCTGTTCTGTATGTTTATAGTGTAAGATTTTTGTAATACTTATTAATAAGCAGACAGCGTGAAATCAGATATCTGGAGCTTCAGGCTATGAATGTTTTTTTGAGCAGCGATGCCCTCCCCAGCGGGAATGTTAGTGCATGCGTCAGTCGCTGGGTGATATAATAACTCCAGAGGTATGAATGTGCTCCAATCACCTTTGCTCTTCATTGCTGGCAAGACCGGCTGGCGTTCTGTTGACCTGAAACATCATCAGAAGCAGTCAGGTTTTAAGCCATTGACGACGATGTGGGCCACCGGTGCCCACACTTCTTGCAAAGTCATATTCTTTGTAGGTCTAGTATCTTTTCCACATATTGATATTTTTTCCAATTTTTTGCGCTCTTGAGACCTGTAGGCTCCGTCGTTGAAAATGGCTGTTGGTTGTATGGTTGTTTATGGTTGTTTACAAAACAACCATGCATTTTGTAAATAACCACAAAACTTGTCCCAAAGCGCCGCCATGCAAACTTAGGCGTCGTTGTCAATGGGTCAAAGAAGTTCGCTACACGACGAAAGGCACAGCCCTTGCAGAATGAAAGAGCACAAAACAGTGGTAAAGTCCACTGTGGCTCTCAACAATTGTAGAGCGCAAGAGCCCTCTGCTAATTATATTAGGGCCCGGACAGACTTCACGCGATTTGATCGTCGCGACTGAATCGCGACGATCAAATCGCGTGAATCTGTCCGGGACCTAATATATTTAGCAGAGGGCTCTTCCATGCCGATCAACTTGCATTTCGGTAGTGATACTTTTCCAGCCCGAAATTTTTGAATGTGAAATGAAAATGTTGGTTGTATGGTTGTTTATGGTTGTGTAATGGAAATGTCGGCGATTGAGTTGCGACGATCAAATCGCGTGAAGTCTGTCCGGGGCCTTAGGTTGGTGCAAAAATAATATCCGTTTTTCTAGACTTATTTTCCAAACAACTTTTTCCTCCAGACTTTCTTTTTCGATACCAATTCTGCATATCATTGAAAAGCTTTTTTCAAGTACTCTGTAATTGTGGTGAAATTGAGCTTCTATCTCATTTGTGAGAATTTCAGCAACATCTCGCACAGCCGCACTCAAAACTAGAATTTCATAGCTTCAACTTTCTTCGCCACAACCAGACGCAAATGAACGAATCCTTCTAAAAACGTAACTACTGTGTGGGACGAATATGTTTAGCATATTGCATGTTTGAATGGATTTTCGAATAGATCTGGACTGGGAAGTCGACGCTTCAAACCAAATACTCGCTGCCTTGCAGTCTATAGGTGGAAATTTTTTTTGATTAAGGCAATCGCCGAAGCTACGTACATTTCTTTATGCTCAAGGTCAGGACATTTTGGCTACAAATTTTGCAGAAAAACAGCTATTCAGTGCATGAAGAATTCCCAATGTTCATTGTTTGGGACCTTTTGGCTTAGCACAAATGGGCCTAAAAAAGTGAACAAATTTGGCAGTATAAGCAGGCGCTCGTTAGGTTACGAAAGGGTCATTGCTTCTGGAGGTCTTGATCGCATTCAAAAATATAAAGACTGGACAAATCATAATTTCAAAGTGAAACTTTGCTAAATGGACATTATTTTTGCAACAACCTTATGATTAAACGTGCTAGATTAAGGAATCAAGAAGAACTAAGCTGGAACTAAGATGGTGCAACAAGACTTTCGTTCCAACTTAATACATTTTATGCATGATTCTAACTGAAGAAAGTAGAGGATTACATATTGGTATTAGGAGACCAGACATGTCGTCCAGAGAAGATTAGCTGTGAATGACATATTTTTCTTACCTTGCATTTTTGCTTTATTGATCTCGTTCAACGATTACAAGAGCTGGCTGAACGACTAATATCACAAAAGAAGAACTGAACTTCGGATGTGACACAAATTTTTGTATCTTGCCGTTGATGATTCTACAAGCAAGCTATCTTTGGAAAAAGAGAGTCTAAACTACAACTAGAAGTATGCTACACTAATACGCAATCTGTGAGCAATTTACTCCCATTGTGAAGATAACTGCACTGATCTACGATAATTTCATAAAATTAATTCCGCGTAGATTTTAACTTCCCAATTGTTGGAAATGACACAAGAGCAGTGGAAATCTCCAAAGAGAAAATCAGTGTTATCGCGCATTAATGTTGGGTCGCTGCATAAGTTCTGTCCGTTGTGAATTTTTCAATTTTAATTACATAACTTTTATCCACATCATTTTCGATAAGCTTACTGCAAATTTAGGAAGTTTTTGGCTATCAGATAGTAGTATGCCTTACGCTACTATAGAAAAAACAAGATATCAAAAATTTGCATTTTTTTCATCAATCCTGTCTTTATTATGCTGTTCATCTATAAGAATTGGGAGTATATTTCGTAGTATTTTATTTCATACTAGCCGGCATACCCGACTCCTCCCGGCACTGTCAAAACACTATGATAAAAATTGCCAGCCCCATTCCTATGCAGCATTTCCCTGTGCCACTTGTACATGTCAGTTCCCTATTCCCGTTTTGTTTCCTTTATCAGCATGCCTATCTATCCCCTGTGCCGACTCCCCTCCCCGTGGCACAAACTTGCGAAAAATTTGTAAAATTAATATAAGTAATTAGTTCTCAAAACAAACATTGTATTCGTTATCAGCGTGCTGGATTTCGCCCTGAATAAGTGAATTCAGGAATCAGTATTGTAATCGTATCAGCATGCTCATTTACCCCCCCCCCCCCCTCCTCCGTTCTAACTCCCAGACCCGTAGGTCGAAGTTTGCAAGAGAATTGATAGAATTTGATAAAACCAATACCGATCGAAGGCGGAGAGAAACCTATTACACCCGTCCTGCCCCGATGATGGTGACGTCGTGGTAAACTCCGAGTTTGAAGCTCCGCCTTAACTCGGAACTACGAGTTTCGCTTGCAATTCAAAGTTTTGTTTGAAAAAACTTAGATGTTGCTTTCCAAGTTTCGGGTTTCATTTCTCAAGCTCGGAAATTTAGATTTGCTGTTTGTCAAACCGTTGTGCAAGCTACTGCAAAAGCTTTCAAAAAGGGACTTGGACCTGTTTGGTACAACGATGCGCGTAGTCTCATAAAGATTCATTTCCGTTTCGTCCCGCAGCAAGTCCAAATCCAACTTGATCGGGCGACTCTTTTGGCCGTCATCTTCCATAGAATAGTCTCTTTTCTTGACCCTGGAGAACCAGCGTAGATGGTGCTTCTAGCCGGCGCATCTTCCTTATAAACTTCCTGCAGGCAAAGATAGGCTTTGTTATTGGGGCCTGAATGAAACAAAACAGCAAAACATGCCGAATGTGGGTTTCCGAAGGCTTGACGGGAAGTCATTTCTGCTGACAGTAGATATGGTAAACTGATTATCTGAGCTCGTCGATGGAGCTGGTTTTGACCTATCGATTGGTTCCACATTTGTCCCACCAAACTCGTTCATACTTGTATCTTTACTTGTCAAAAAAGTTGAGTCAAAAATGTCTGAGAACTTCCTTACCAACCTAATAGACTGTGTGAAGGAAGCATAAATTCTTGGCAAATTCTACAAGCAAAACAATTTTTTGATTGAATTGTGCGTATGTCAGCCTATTTTGCTCTTATTTGCTGTTAATCGTTAGAAAGACCTGACTCAGCGATAACCTTTTGGAAATTTCCTTACAAGAATATATTTTATGATAGTAAAAACCATATTTCGAGTGCCTGCGATCTTCGGCCTGCACCTTGTTAGTTTGGAGATTTGCACAGAGCTGAATATGTATCGGAAAGAGCAAGAAAAACGGTTTCAAAGATACAAACGTCTCCGCCTTAAACATGAAAATCTCCTAGAACAGCTGCTTCAAACACAAGGCAACGTAAATCGGAGAGAACAAGCGGCACTATAATGCATGACTGATAATGTTTGCGAAAATCATTCAGTATGATAGACAGCTCCTAAGTAATAGAACAAAAAAATTTCTGTGATAAGGTCCGTGCAGATTCGTTTGTGATCTAATGTATTATCTGTTGCACAGTGAGCTTATCTGGTGTACAGCCATTTTTCTTAGACATCTCTGATACTGGGTCACGATTTGATGATAGTAGTCCCAAAAAAAGCCATTTGTGTGGTTTTGTTTCTGAGCCAGAAAAGCCATTCATGTGGTTTTGTCATACTGTTCGCTTGAGTTCCCTAATTTTACGCTCTCAGCATCAATTCTATGTACACATAAGTTTGAAAATAGCAAGAGCCAGATACTTGAATGGCGATGCGCATGATTCACTGAAATAAAACGCAACTTCTGCGCCTTCCAAATTTTCAGTTTCCTATGCCTGCGCCACACTTTCCTACATCCGTGAAGCATAGCGGTCATCATCATTTGTCTTTTCAAGAATTGCATGAAGTGATATGATGACGTGTGCCTCACGCCCATAATATGCCCACATTCCTCTACTGTCGTGTTGGAGCAGTGAAGGCTATTGAAATATACAAATCTCCCCGCCATCTGTTCAAATACGGCCTCAACACTCATAACACTAGCAGAGTAACATGAGGAGGCTAAACAGGGCATGGTCAGATTTCATCTTAGCTTTACCAAACATGCAGTAAATCATCGGACTCGCCTTGAGACGCTGACCACAAACATTTGTCTACTATCTGCAAGCGACTGGCTGGAAGGAGTTATGAGCTTTTAGATGTGTGATTTGTCAGCTGTTCTGTACCGCAACTTCCTCAAAATAGGTTCCAAAATTACTTATTTAGGTTTCTGGTAAATGCGTTTAATTCGTTGTTTCAAAACCAGAGACTGTAAATCCGCGCCATTAAGCTGCCTTTCAAGGGAAAATCGTCAAAGATTTCCGTATTTGAACGCTCATAACTCCTCCAAATAGTCGCTTGGCAGACAAAAAACGTATATTCGAAATCAGCGTTTTAAGACGAGTCCGACAATTTACAGCTTGTTTGGAATAGTTGGGTTAAGCTCTGACCATTTTCTTGTAAGTAATACGGGATGTGAATGGACCGTAGAAAATACGTGGGTTTAAATTCTTTTCCATACTACTTGTTTTTGCTTGCTGTTGGCTATTTTTCTTGCTTCCATGAATTCAATCGTCATTGTTACCAATCTTTATTTTTTTTTTCAAGACCAATCTTGCAAGAAACTTTGTTACAAAAGAATGGGTTTAGTTCTAAGTAGGGCCTCGGTTGACTCAAATAAAGCGAGCTGACGATATAGCTTGATCGTAACTAAG